TGGCACATGCCTGTAGTCCCAGCTTCTCAGGAGGCTGAGGCAGGAGAATTGCTTGAACCCGGGAGGTAGAGGTTGCAGTGAGCCAAGATCCTGCCATTGCACTGCAGCCTGGGCAACAGAGCGAGACTCTCTTTAAAAAAAAGGTGGGGTGGGGGAGTACTAAACTGAGTCTAAATAGCCAAGAAACTCAGTGCAAGGACAGTAGTGTTCAGACTTGTTGCTAACTTAACATGTCATCACGGATTTGATAAGGTGTGAAGAGTAAAGCATAAAGGATCTCTGTGGTTACTAAACCTGTTTGATGACTATGGCCCAAGGTGATGAAGAGGTTTGACCTTATTTCCCTGGGACCTCTATAACTATGATACATTGTAACATAATTTCTACAGTGGTCACATCTAATTATAGCAATCCTTTGTTCACTGCACCTTCATTACTAAGAAGTATGCTTAAGGGTAGCATTCATGAACTATAGACAGACAGCTTGGAAATAAATGGAGACCCAAATGAGAACAAACATAGCCTATTAAATCAGGCCACACCATAGTAAGGGAGTCATTCACAATCTTTTGCACTCAGCAGAGCTTGAAAGGTAAGTAGAGGTGTAGAAAGCTTTATAGTAGATGAAAGGTAAAGTATTAGGTATGCCATGATTGGAGGGTTTTGCCGTGAGGAGTGTGTGTGTGCCTGTGTTGGAAGGGGATTATTTAGAAGGTTGACAGACTATGTGATTGGCTAGTGATGCATTTGCTTTCTCCAGTTGGTCCTAAGTTGAACATGTGGGCAACAATTAAGAAGGCCGTCAGTTCTTAATCATTGTCTTGGCCATTTTAAGTCAGTGGTTATGTGGGTTGTTGTTTGGCTTACTGGCCTGGTTGCTAGATGTGGTATGCAGACTTGGAGTGGTTACTATAGATACCGCATTGGATTTCTGAATGGGTGGCTGTGAATTATGGGTCAGAGTTCACTTTTTATATTTGGTGTAGCCATTGTCCATTTATATAGCAAATTTCTCACACCTAAATAAGGAACTAACTATCCACATTAGTGAGACTTCTTTTTTAACTGGTTATGTTGAAAATTAGTTTAATATTCATTAATTAATTCTCTACATCCCTTTCAAAGATTTTTTTTTTTTTTTTTTTTTTTCTTTTTTTTTTTTTTGAGACGGAGTTTTCGCTCTTGTTACCCAGGCTGGAGTGCAATGGCGCGATCTCGGCTCACCGCAACCTCCGCCTCCTGGGTTCAGGCAATTCTCCTGCCTCAGCCTCCTGAGTAGCTGGGATTACAGGCACGTGCCACCATGCCCAGCTAATTTTTTGTATTTTTAGTAGAGACGGGGTTTCACCATGTTGACCAGGATGGTCTCGATCTCTTGACCTCGTGATCCACCCGCCTCGGCCTCCCAAAGTGCTGGGATTACAGGCTTGAGCCACCGCGCCCGGCCCCTGCTTCTTTTTTTTTTTTTGTAAACTGGTTGGCAAAAAAACTAAATTCTAACACTCTGGTCAAAAAATAGCCCTTTCCTTTCCTGAATATAACAAGAATGGATTTTAATTCTTGGTCTTTTCTTTTGGTCTTCCTTCACCAATCCTGCAGGAGAGACCATAAGGCATTATCTAAATGCCTTATGTTGGGGGGCATGATTTTCAGGTAGTATTGCTACTACCTGATGACAGTACTATTGCTACTCAATTTTTCTCTCACTGCTACTCAACTGCAGTGAGAGAAAAATAGCTCTAAATGCTGACATTTTGTAATGTATTGTAAAAAGCTGAATAAAGCCAGGCACAGTGTCCTGTACCGATAGTCCTAGCTGCTCCAGAGGCTGAGGAGGGAAGATAGCTTTAGCTCAGGAGTTTCAGACCAGCCTGAGCAACATAGTGAGACTTTATCTCCAAAGATAATAAAAATCTCAATACAGGATATTAGAGACATCCTAACAAAGTTAATACAGGACCCAGGACAAATTCATTAAATACAGGATATGTGTTATAGCTGGTGGCAAGCCTATTCCTGATGTGTCCCATGCACCTACTGTTGTGCCTGACATCCAGTAAGTGCTCATTGAACATTTTTTTTTTTTTGAGACACAGTCTCGCTCTGTTGCCCAGGACGGAGTGCAATGGCACGATCTCAGCTCACTACAACCTCTGCCACCCGGGTTCAAGCGATTCTCCTTCCTCAGCCTCCCAAGTAGCTGTGATTATAGGCACATACCACCATGTCCAGCTAATTTTTGTATTTTTAGTAGAGATGGGGTTTCACCATGTTGGTCAGGCTGGTCTGAAACGCCTGACCTCGTGATCCGCCCACTTTGGCCTCCCAAAGTGCTGGGATTACAGGTGTGAGCCACCGTGCTTGGCTCAACATTTGTTAGAGTGATAAATGTGAATGTGACAGCACACATTCCCTATTCATTTTTACCTTTCTGGCAATCTTTTAAAATATAGTCCTTACCTGTTCCTCCAAGCTGTTAATGCATGTTTTCAAGTTTGAGAATCACCTTTTGTAAACTAAGCCCTGAATGTGTCCAAAGTTGCCGAATGTGTCCAAAGTTGCCGAATGTGTCCAAAGTTGCCACAGGCTCCAGTTCATTCTTTGACGCCTCAGATCTCTGTCTCTTGCTCCAACTCCACTGAGATTTTAACTTTTTTTGTCCTGTTACAGATATAATTCTCTAGAACAATTTCCAACTCCTTGTTTGAATAACTGCATAATCATCATTCATAGCTTTGGCAGTATACATTTCACAAGGGTTTTTAAGAGATAACTTCAACTCCTTATGCAAATACTGTTGATGCAATTTTAGGTGAAATGATAAAATCACTTTCCAAGAAAGATGTAAGATCATGGACACCCAAACCTTTATCTCAGGGTAAGATGCTCTCTTTGCACATATGTTTTCACTGTTTGAAGGGCACATAATTTCCTGGCAGGAAATGCAATTTTCATACTTGGCTCTTCTGTTTTAATAGATTTCTGATTCTTGAAATAAATGGGCAGCTGTGGTGACGAGCCCCTAGAGTCCCTGCTACTTGGGAGGCTGAATCCAGGAGATTCCTTGAGCTGAGGAGTTCAAACGCAGCCTAGGCCATGTTATATAACAAGACCACCTCGTACCCCACCTCTTAAATAAATAAATAGAAAACATCACATATATAAATAAGTATATGAATAAAAATGTTGCTTGCCATGTTTGGAACACAATGACTGATTATTCAGAAAGGGAACGTAAACCAAAAATAAAATTCTAAGTCCCCCAGCTAACTGATAGACCTTCCCCTCAGCCAAGGGCATTTCAAAATTAACCTGAAAAACTAATTCAGGCCATGATGGGAAGGAGGTTGGACATGCGTTATTCTTATTTTTCAGACAGAGTCTTGCTCTGTCACCCAGGCTAGAGTGCAGTGGCACGATCTTGGCTTACTGTATCCTCTGCTTCCTGAGTTCAAGCACTTCTCCTGCCTCAGCCTCCCAAGTAGCTGGGATTACAGGTGCATGCCATCACACCAGGCTGATCCCAAACTCCTGACTTCAAGTGATCCACCACCTTGGCCTCCCAAAGTGCTGGGATTACATGTGTGAGCCACTGTGCTGCGCCAGACATTCCATATTATACCCTCCTCTGGCTGGAATTCAGGCACAGCTGACCAGCATTAACATTAAAACAGAAATCTTAAGATCTCTCTGTGGACTTTTTGTAGTAGTAAGACACCAAATTCCAGTCTGATTCTAGTTTTGCATCACATGACAGATAGGAGGCCCTGAAAGAAAAGAGCTGGAGGTGCCTGGAGGAGCCTTGAGAAATGCAGTTCTAGGGCTCCTAAGTAGGTGGGGGCTTTGCTGACTCTTAAATGGCAAGTATCCAGATTCAGAGGCCCTGAAAGAAATCAAAGTATTTCACCCCAAAATATATTTATTTGAAATATTTTGAAAAGGCCTTACAAAGCTGTTCCTTGTGGGGAAAATCTACATTCTGTAGAAAATCTTCTTTCCAGCTTTTTTCTGTGTCCCAGGAGAGAATTAACAAGTCTGGCACCTTTTTAAGTCTAATAAAAACTCTGAGGCCTTATCCGTAAGGCCTTATGATATGGCTACCTGGAGGCTTCCTCTGCATGATATAACCTTGGTCTTCACAACCCCTTATCTTAACCCAGACAATTATTTCTAATGATTCCAGGTGTTTAGATAAAAGCTCTTTCAACCCACCTGACCTGGAAAGTCCAGCTCCCCACCTTCCAGTTGTTCCGCCTTTCCAGAGGGATCCAATGTATATTTTACATGTATTGATTGATGTCTTATGTCGTCCTAAACTGTTAAAACCAAGCAGCTGTAGATGGGCCACCTTGGGCACATGTTCTCAGGATGTCCTGGAGCTGTGCCATGGGCCATTAGCCAGTTATTATTTGGCTCAGAATAAAGCTCTTCAAATATTTTACAAAGTCCCACCCATTTCGTCGACAGAAAGATATACCTCCTTCAACTCGCCATCACATCTTGTGTGGGTCTTTCTTGTTCCAACAGAGCACACCAAAGATCAAAAAACAGTCTCCAGAGCTTCAGTATGTGTGTACTTGACAAGCGCAAAAGAGCTGACCGCCGTGAATGGAGGACCAGTTCATTACGATCAGCCATGTCCCCTCTGATGTTCTTCCTTTGGAAACTTGCTGTGCCTCATAGAATCTGAAACGACAGTGAAATATTTCTCAGACTTGTTCTAGATTACCTTCTGGGGAAATCTGGATACTTGCCGTTTAAGAGTCAGCAAAGCCCCCCCTACGTACTTAAGAGCCCCGGAACTGCATTTCTCAAGGCTCCTCCAGGAGCTCCCAGCTTTTTTCCGTTAAGGTCAGCGCGCCCTGCATTATGAGGCCGGGCAGGCAGCAGCGTAGGAACTACATTGCCCAGAAGACACTGCGGGCGGCACAGTGAGTGTAGCCAATGAAGATCTAGCAGAGAGACCACCAGTGATGTCTCAATAGTGTGGGCGGGACTTCCGGCGGCGCCGTTCGGGTTCTGTTAGCTTGGCATCGTTGAGATCTGTTCGCTGATTTGTGGTGTGCCAGAGGTCTGGGTCGGGAGTGAGGTGGCAGAGCGGAAAAACGCGAGAAGCGGCGTTCCTTCTACACAGTGGCCAGAGTGAGGATCGGCTGAGTAGGCTGCAGGCGCTGCTGCCTCCACCAGCGTCCAGGTGACCGCCGTTCCCACCTGGCTCTTCGCTGGCTGGACAGGAGGCGGCCGCGCCGGTGAACCTGACCGAGGTGCGTGCCGCGTCCCAGGCCGCCCGCCCAACCTCCCCTCCCCCAGTGCTTTAGTCCCAAGGAGGGGCCCTGCAGGTTAGGCTGTTGTGTCTCAAAGAGAGGGGCTGGGACTGCGGTGCGATGAGGCGGGGGAGCTCGTCAGAGACCGACAGATCTGGGATTTGGGGGCGCTGCAGAACTGGCGGCCCTGGGGAGCCCCATCGTCTTTGTTTCCAGGGAGCAGAGGGTGAGGCGCAGTCTCCCCTGGAAGGGCAGTGGAGCCACAGAAAGCCATAGAGGGCTGTGCAGGGAGGACGGATGGAAGGGTCACGCCCAGAATTCGAAGTTAACGTTGGGGAAAACAGGATGTTGAACGGGGGCAGGGGGACCGCCGGGGAGATCCCTTGAGTTATTTTAGGGCTGGGCCAGAGGGGTTGCAGTAGAGAGGAGAAGGGATGAGATTCTGGTTGGATCTGAGAGATAGAGTCAACAGGATTTCCTGCTGCATCAAACATAGCTGTGAAGGGTATATTCCATGGGTTTTGTTTTGGCCTGAAAAGCTGAAAGAATGGAATTAGAGAGATCAGCTTAAGGAGCAGGTTTCAGACAGAAGATGCTGGTTTGAATTTTGGGCGACATCACATGGGTAGGTGGACCTAAGTTCCAAAGGTCAGGGAAGGCCTAGGGCTTGAAATGAGTTAAAAGTTGTGCATCTGAGGAGAGTTGGCCTTTGGATCAGATTGAGAAGGAAGAATCATAACGCTGTTTTTTCATATGGGCTGAGGGAGGGGAAGGCTCAGATTTGGAGGAAAGACCATGATAGGGAGGGTATCTGTGATACTCCCTGCAGAAGGAAGCAGATATGGGCTAAGAGTTTGGTCTGTTTCTTTTGAAAAACAGGCCTGGATGGATAAGGAGTTGCCCTGAAATGTACAGACTGAGGCATGAGGTATTGTAGTCACTCCACTCTCTAACTCAGCCAGCCCCGAGGGCCACTCTTTGGGGAACAAGATAAGGCCATGGAGCAACTGGGTCCAAAACTGGGCAGGGCTTTCTCACAACCTCCATGACAGTTAAGGGCCTCTAGCAAGCTCCCTTTATAGCATTAAATGGCAGGCGGACCTGTTTGCTCAATGGAGGAGTAATTGATTGCCTGCTCAGCTCCATCCTACAACTCATTAACTTAGGAATGTAAAAACATGTAATTGATTTAAACGCTAATAAACTATATCAATCTTAAATAACCAAGCAGGTCAGAATCTAGTTTAAAGACAGTTTATTCACGTTCAAATGTTGATGATAGCCATCTGGCAGCATAGATTCAAGTTGTCCTGAATATACACTTTAATTAGCAGCAGTTACAAGTTTTTTGGTGTTTTTTTTTGTTGTTGTTGTTTTTTTTTTTAGAAAAGCAGTTTCTGAGTTGCTTACCAATAACATATTAAAATAACATACATTTTTATTGGCTATACATTGTTCTATACGTTATAGATTACAGAAACATGAAGATAATAGGTGAGACAGCTAGTCAGGAACAAAATGCCTTTAAACAGTTGTCCTCAGGCATAGGTTCAGGGGTGTGACTGACATCTCATATTCTTGTCTCTGAGCCTCATACATTTTGTGTAGGTGAGACAGCTCTGGGCTTTTTTTTTTTTTTTTTTAAATTCTCAGCCAATATACTAAATGTGTACATATAGGTCATTGGAAATAAATGTAATCAATAATTTAAATATATTAAAATATTTATTAATTGTTAGAAGGTTAATTTACCTGTAACTCTGCTTATAGTACAAAGCTTTATATATATCACATTTCCTTAAAACATTAAGGAGTGGGGAAAAATACTCAAATTTTCATAACCCTTCTATCTCATTTGTGCTAAAGTCATGTACAAAACCATTAATCCTATAGAAATTGCTTATACATAGTTTGCATTACTTATGCTTCTTGTCAATATGAGCCCTATGAAATGGGAACCCTTTTAATCTCCATTTTACACATAAGGACACTGAGGCTTAGGGAAGGTTAGTCCTTGTCCAAAGATACAGAGCTGCTAAGAGGCAGCACTGAACTCAGGACTTGCTGTAGCTTCAAATCACTTTGCTCCAGTACAGGGCAAACGTGGTTGTACAGCCTAGCCTGTAGGGTGCTGCAATACTGTGCTGTTATTCATGGCTTGCCTCTTCTTACAGGGTCCATGGCAGTGGCAGCAATGCATGAGGACCCTGCACAGGTAAGTCAAGGGTTTCTCAGGCTCTCTCCCCCAGCCCCTCACCACTTATCACTCTGATATTTTAAGCTTGCTGATATAGGGAAAGGTGGTGTCCTGAAACTTCATGTTTTTCCCTTCCTTGGGTCTGAAGACTGTAGTTCCACCACAACCAGGGGTCAGAACTCAGTCCCTGGTTATACAAAGTGGTCCTAGTTCCAAGAACTGATGGTATAAGATGGGGCAGGGCATCCAGGCACAGGATATAGGATATTCAAATGCTTACTGGGAAGTCTTAGCTGGGATGTTTAGTGAACTGAAAATTCATGTTCTATCTGGTTGTGATAGAGAGTATGGCAGCAGGGTAGGAGGTTGGGGCGTGCAGGGATCAGGGATGGCATGGCAGTCTAAGGTTCTGGCCTTTCATCTGAGGGTGGTAGTAGCTAGGGAAGGTTCGAAGGGAAAAAAAGAGATGACCTGACTCAGATTTTAGTGGCTCCCTCTGCCTGCAGAATGGAAGACCATGTGAGGGTGAGGGTGGAGCCAGGGATACCTGGTTGATTGGCCTGCAACAGTCCAGGTGGAGGTTGTTGGTGACTGAAGGAGAGTGGCAGTGGTGGAAGTGGGAGCAGTGGGTGGCTTGTGTATGTGTTTGATCTAGAACTGCCTGTATTTTATAATAGAGAGAGCAAGGAAGCTTGGGAGCTGAGATGGGAAGAGGGGGTCAGGAATGGCCCCATAGTTTTGGCCTCGTTTGGAAGGATGAATGTTCCAGCAACTAAGATGTAAGTTCTGTAGTAGGGGGAGTGTTTATATAGTAGAGCATATGAGGAACCAAGTTTTGGCCAAGTCAAAAATGTTCCAGTACAGACAGAGTGGATCACACCTGTAATCCCAGCACTTTGGGAAGCAGAGGTGGGAAAATAGCTGGAGGTGAGCCTGGGCAACATAGGGAGACCCTGTCTCTACAAATAATAATAAATAGCTGGGTGTGGTGGCGTCTGCCTGTGGTCTCAGCTAATCGGCCTGCTGGGGCAGGAGGGTCTCCTGAGCCTGGGAGGTAAAGGCTGCAATGAGCCATGATTGTGTCCCTGCACTCCAGCCTGGGCAACAAAGTAAGACCCTGTCTCCAAAAAACCAAGCTGAAACAAAAAATACATTAAAAATGTTTCAGAGACTCTGAGTGGAGGTGCCAGCCTGGCAGTTGTGCACACAGGACTGGAGTTCAGTGTAGGTGTGCAGGATGGAGACATTCACTACATGACAGATGAACTGCTGTGAAACTGGGTCAGACTTACAAATCAGTGGTGTTAGTGGGAAGGAAGGAGAAGGAACACACTGAGGACTGCGTCTCTGCATTGGGCACCTGGATGGTGTTGGTGGGTGTCACAAAGAGAGATGAGAGAGTGGATCGACTGAGGGTGTGTTATGCTGGGGGCGACCTGTGGAGTATAAGAAGGGCTTTTGAGAGGAGAGTGGTCATGAGAAGGATGGTGAGACATCTCCACAAACTTGCCAGGGTTTTGTAGTGAGTCTTGGTTGGACCTGGGTAGTTTTCATGTTAACTTTAGGGGAAGATGGGATCATGAAGGGCCTTGCTAGTCCTGGGGTGGGGATAGCATTGAGGAGGTCAGTGTGTCTGGACTTTGGATTAGGATTAGGGGAATAGAGAAGGTTATGACTGCTTATGGGACATCATGTACAGTGCAAAAGGGAGAGACAGCCAAGATCTGTAACTCGGAGGAGGTATACAAGAACTGTGAGGTTGTTTGTCACTTGCGTTTGGGGGACTGAGGTTAAAGCAGGAGACAGGACTGGGAGGGAGACCTTCAGAACAGGGCTTGGTGCTGCCCCAGGCACTAGGGAACATTACATTCTGGGCAGCCCAGGGGCAAATATGGTTCTGGTTGCATTTGTCATGCATTGCAGGACTCCATGTACAGAGTGTCATGTTGGTAGACCATGGAAATGCTCCTGGTTGGGCCAAGGTTGCTGTTAGTATTGCAAGAGTGGAGGAGTTAGATACATGAGGTAGGTACTGTCCAAAGTGAGACCTGAAGATGAGGGGAGTGTGAATGGATGGTCCTAGCCCTGGCAATGAGCATATGAGGGAGAAGGCTGAGTCTTAGTTCGGGTGTCTAGGAGGCAAGATCTGGAGAACCAAGGAAAACAGGGTGATAAAAGAAGGTAGATCTGGCCAGGCATGGTGGCTCATACCTGTAATCCCAGCGCTTTGGGATCATGAGGTCAGGAGTTTGAGAGCAGCTGACCAACATGGTGTATTTTTGGTTTCTACTAAAAATACAAAAATTAGCCGGTCATAGTGGTGGGCACCGGTAATCCCAGCTACTCAGGAGGCTGAGGCAGGAGAATTGCTTGAACCCAGGAGGCAGAGGTTGCAGTGAGCTGAGATTGCATTACTGCATTCCAGTCTCGACAACAGAGCAAGACTCCATCTCAAGAAACAAAAAGAAGGTAGGGCCGCCTGTGCTAGGCTTTGATGATGATGCTTGTGCTTCTTCCCCACCCATCTTTGTGCTGTGCCAGACTCAGCGATCAGCAGCAGTGGGGGCAAGAGCAGGTGTCGATGCTACCAGGATGTGGTGTCTCTTCCTCCTTGGGAAGTGGGTGGAGGCTAAGCAGGGGATGGATGTGTGTGGATGTTGGGGAAGCACTGAAGATTCTGAAGACCCGTGTATCAGTGATTGGCCCACTGGATTTTAATTTTTGGGAAAGAGTGAGTGATGACAGAGAGGCTAATGGCATTGAAATAATTTTTGTTACTTTCATTTCTTTAGTGCTGGAGTAGTGCCATGCTGCACCAGGCCACAGGAAATAGTAGATTTGGTCAGGAGGGAGATGCACGATTAAAGGGAAAGTGTACGTCAGAGACTGTATTGGGGTTTTGGTAGGAAAGGCATGCAGGGCGGGATAAGGAGCTTAAAACTCCATGGTTTGCATAAGTCTGGCAGCCTTAGGGCTTAGAGATTATCTGTTACTGTGTGGTGACTTGTGTTGATTAGGACAGAAGAAAAGATCATGTATGAGCATTATTAGATAGGCATTTCAGCATATGGGATCTGGATTGCAAGGTAAAAACATTGACTGTTAGTGTGGCCCTCTAATTCTTAGATTTCAAGTAGATAAATACAGATCTAAGGAAACACAAAATAAGAAGTTGCTCATGGACTGAAGTGTCATAATTTTGGCAGGATTGTATGGTCTTTGAGGATGTGGCCATATATTTCTCCCAGGAAGAATGGGGGATCCTTAATGATGCTCAGAAACACCTGCACAGCAATGTGATGTTGGAGAACTTTGCGCTTTTGTCATCAGTAGGTAAGGGCTTCATACCTACTCTGGTGTCTTGTGCTGGGTGCTGTTTTTTTACTCTTTTCCATGACAACTCTGTCTTTCTCACACCAGATTGCGGGTGCTATGTCCTCTCCTGGTTTCCTGGCAAATGTGATGGGGCAGCCAGTGCTAGGTTGTGTATACTGTACCACCTTTCTTTAAGCAGTCCCAGCGTCTGTTGCTCTGCAACTGAACAAGATAAGGCTCAGAAGTCAGAAATCTTCAGGTTTCTTTAAGATATCCTCATGGCTTTTCCTGTCCCTGGTTTGATTACACTGTCCAAATGCATGAAACCTCTGCCCAAGGGTTTCCCTGTTTCCCTTTTCGGCATACTGGGAAACACTGTCTGTACTAGAAATTTCAGGCACCTACCTGGTCACCACTTGTGAGGATTGTGAAGTTATTCTACAGGACTCTCTAGTGGATATTCTGGTAATTTTAGAATGCAGCATGCCCTGGGTTTATTGCTCCATGTACATGTCGTCCCCTCCCTTTCCTTGCCTCTCCCCTAACTTGACTTGTGCCACAGCTAGATAGTTGCTCACCTTGAGCAAGGGGGAGGTCCCTGGGTGCCTGACAGAGTGGATAGTCCTCTATTAATGGCAAGAGACACTCAGAAGGACTTGGCCCTGGCGGGCGAAAGCTGGGAAACGATATGGTATCAGGGCTGGGTTCAAATCACATTGAGAACTTATCTTGTGACCACTATTGTTTGATGCAGGGCCACTGGCCACCCTTCACTCTTCCTTTCCATCCCTGTTGTTATTTTTACTCTGACTTCCAACCCCTGGCTCCCACTTCTGACCCCTCCTCTCCAGCCTTTCCTTCTCCACCACTCTCTTCCATTCTCCCTTTGCAGTGCGGTCTAATGTATGACCTGTACTTTAGGTGTTATGAGGTTTGTATGTGTCTTTCAGTAGTTCTTGTACACTTGCTCTCATGCAATTAGATCTCTCTGGATCTGGACACAACAGTCATGGCCTGTTGAAAGCCATTTGTAGAGGAGTCAGTTGGAGACTCCACCTGCCCTCCCTGCATGGTACTTCTCCTGTGTGTCCTTACCACCAGGGTTCCCCCATTACACACACTTGACAGGCCCACCTCTGAACAGTGGGCTTTCCTCTCACTGACCTTATTTCCTTGCCTGTGACCAATGCTGTGCCCTCATTTGTGGGTGTGCCTCACAGACATTTGTTATGGGGCTGCCTTCTCCCCCCAGAGTTAACACACACTTCACCAGTATTTCTGTTCTTACAGGTTGTTGGCATGGAGCCAAGGATAAGGAGGCACCTTCCAAGCAATGTGTTTCTGTAAGAGTGTTACAGGTCACAACTCCAAAGCCAGCTTTATCCACCCTGGAGGCCCAGCCCTGCAAGACATGTAGCACACTTCTGAAGGACATTCTGCACCTGGCTGAGCACAATGGAACACACCCTGAGCAAGGGCTGTACACGTGTGCAGCAGAGCATTACCTGCACCAAAAGGAGCAGATTAGAGAGGAGCTCACTAGAAGTGATGAGTGGAGGCCTTCATTTGTGAACAACAGTGTTCACATGGCAGAGAGGAACTTCACCTGCACACAGAGTGGCAAGGATTTTACTGCCAGTTCAGACCCTCTCCAGCAACAGATCTTAAACAGTGGGTGGAAGCTGTACAGGGATACCCAGGATGGGGAAGCCTTTCAACATGAACAGAATGATTACAACTCCAGCCAAGGTGGGAAAGACTTTTGCCACCAACATAAGCTGTTTGAGCACCAAAAAACCCATACTGGGAAGAGGCCTTATGAGTCCAGTGAACGTGGGGAATTGTTTAGGTACAATTCCAACCTTATTAAGTATCAACAAAATCATGCTAGAGATAGGCCTTATGAATGCACTGAATATGGAAAGACCATTATTAGAAAGTCCAACCTAGTTCAGCACCAGAAAATTCATATTGAAGGCTTTCTTTCAAAAAGGGCTGACCCTCTTGAACATCAGGAGATTTGTAGTAAACCAACACCTTATGAATGCACCCAATGTGGGAAAGCTTTCCTTACAGGGGCTCATCTGGTTGGTCACCAGAAAATCCATACTGGAGAACAGCCCTATGAATGCAACAAGTGTGGGAAATTTTTTATGTATAACTCTACACTCATTAGACATCAGAAAGTTCACAATGGGGAAAGGCATTATGAGTGTAGTGAATGTGAGAAATTGTTTATGGACAGCTTCACACTCAGTAGTCATCAGAGAGTTCATACTGGAGAAGGGCCTTTTGAATGCAGCATATGTGGAAAATTCTTTAGTCACTACACCACACTCAATATGCATCAAAGAATTCATACTGGCAAAAGGCCTTATAATTGTAGCGAATATGGAAAAGGCTTTAGCCTCAAACTTGTTGTTCAGCACCTGAAAATTCACACTGGAGAAAGGCCTTATGAGTGCACTGAATGTGGGAAAGCCTTTGTTAGAAAGTCCCACCTAGTTCGGCACCAGAAAATCCACACTGAAGCATTTTCAAAAAGATCTGATATTCAACACAAGAAGATCAACATCAGGCCAAGGCCTTATGCGTGTAGTGAATGTGGGAAGGCCTTCCTTACACAGGCTCATCTAGATGGTCACCAGAAAATCCATACTGGAGAATGCCCTTATGAATGCAATGAATGTGGGAAATTGTTTATGGACAACTATAAACTTATTATTCATCAGAGAATTCACACTGGAGAAAAGCCTTATAAATGTAGCAAATGTGGAAAATTCTTTAGATATCGCTGTACACTGAGTAGACATCAGAAAATTCACACTGGAGAAAGACCTTATGAGTGCAATGAATGCGGGAAATTCTTTATGGACAACTACAAACTTATTATTCATCAGAGAATTCACACTGGAGAAAAGCCTTATAAATGCAGCAAATGTGGAAAATTCTTTAGATATAACTGTACACTGAGTAGACATCAGAAAATTCACACTGGAGAAAGACCTTATGAGTGCAGTGAATGTGGGAAATTCTTAAGGGATAGCTACAAACTCATTATTCATCAGAGAGTTCACACTGGAGAAAAGCCTTATGAATGCAGCAACTGTGGGAAGTTCCTTGGATACCGTTCTACATTAATTAAACATTATAAAGTTTGCACTGGGGAGAAGCCTCATGAGTGCAGTAAATGTGGGGAATTGTTTAGGACCAAATCAAGCCTTATTACACATCAGCAATCTCACACTGGAGAAAGTCCTTTTAAGTTAAGGGAATGTGGGAAAGACTTCAGCAGCAAATGTAATACTGGTCAGCACCAAAAAAATCACAATGGAGAAAGGTTTTATGAGTGTGGTGAATGCAACAAAGTGTTTAAATACAACTCCAGCCTCATTAAACATCAGAGAATTCACAGTGGAGAAAGGCCTTAGTGCAATGAATGCAGGAAAGTCTTTAACCAAAACTGTCACTTCATTAAGCACCAAAAAGTTCATATCAGATAAAGAACCTATTAATATATATAAATTTAATGTTGAGAGTTTAGACAAATCTGCAAGGATTTCCTGCTGGGAACTACGTTAAGAACATTTGTAATTGTGGCAAAATACAGGTAACTTAAAATCTACCATCTCAACCCATATTTAAATGTACTGTTCAGTAGTGTTAAGTCATTCACATTGTTGTCAATTAATATCCAGAAGTTTTCTCAACTTAAACTAAAACATTAAACCCTTTAACCAGGGATCCACAACCCCCAGGCTGCAGATTGGTACCAACTCCAGACTGCCCCGGTTGCAGACTGTTAGGAACCAGGCCAGCATTACCACCTGAGCTCTACCTCCTGTCAGATCAGTAGCAGCATTAGATTTTCATAGGAGTACAAACCCTATTGTGAACTGTGCATGTGAGGGGTTTAGGTTGTGTGCTCCTTATGAGAATCGAATGCCTGATAGGATCTGAGTTGGAACAGTTTTATCCTGAAACTATCCTCCCCCTCCTCTGTCCCTGCTGGTCTGTGGAAAAGTTGGCTTCCATGAAACCAGTTTCTGGTGCCACAAAGGTTGGGGACCGCTGCTTTAAACCACTCTTCATTCCCTACTCCACCCACCCCCTGACAACCACTCCTGTATCAATTTTACTACTGTAAATACTTCGTATGAGAAAACTTAAGTTTTAGACTTCTGTGACTTATTTTGTGGCTTGTTTCCCTTAATGTCTTCAGGGTTTATCCATGTTGTAGCATAACTTATAATTTTCATCTTTTTTAAAGGCTGAATGAAATCCCATTGTAGTCATGCATTGCTTAACAAGAGGAGTATTTTCTGAATAATTCATCTTAAGGGATTTTGTCATTGTGTGAACTAAGAGTGTACTTACACAAACCTAGAGGGTACAGCCTATTACGCACCTAGTCTGTATGATATGGCCCATTGCTCCTAGGCTGCAAACCTTAACAGCATGTTACTGTATTGATTATTGTTCCCTGATTGAAACACATCAGGGAGTGAGTCGTGAGTGAATGTAAAGCTCTCGGACATTACTGTACCCTGTTGTAGACTTTATAAACATTGTACACTGAGGCTACTCCAAATTAATTTTTTCTTTAGTTATAAATTAACCTGGCCGGGTGCGGTGGCTCACACCTGTAATCCAAGCACTTTGGAGGCCAAGGCGGGTGGATTACCTGAGGTCGGGAGTTCAAGACCAGCCTGACCAACATGGTGAAACCCCCTCTATTAAAAAAAAAATTAAAAAATAAAAAAAAAATTAGTAATGAATTAATCTTAGCCTACCGTAACTTTTTTACTTCATAAATTTTGCAATTTTATTTATTTATTTATTTTTTCTTTTTTAGTTCTGAGAAATTAACCTGTACTGTAAACTTTGCAATTTTAAACTTTTTCACTCTCATAATAACACTTATCTTAAAACACAAACACATACAGCCTGTATAGAAATACTCCTTTATATTCTTTTATAAGCTTTTTCTATTTAATTTTTTTAACTTCTTAATTTTTTTTTAAACTAAGATACACATTAGTCGAGGCCTACACCAGGTCAGGATCATTAATAACACTGTCTTTCACCTCCACATCTTGTCCCACTAGAAGGTTTTCAGGGTCAATAACATGGCCTTGTTATCTCCTATAATAGCAATGTATTCTGGAATATTTTCTGAAGCCTGCCTCAGGCTATTTATTAATTTTTATTTTTATTTTTTTTAGCCAGAGTCTTGCTCTGTTGCCCAGGCTGGAGTGCAGTGGCACAATCTTGGCTTACTGCAACCTCTGCCTCCTGGGTTCAAGCAATTCTCCTGCCTCAACCTCCCAGATAGTTGGGATTACAGGCGCCCGCCACCACGTCCAGCTAATTTTTGTATTTTTAGTGGATTCAGGGTTTCTCCATGTTGGTCAGGCTGGTCTTGAATTCCTGACCTCTGTGATCTGCCTGCCCTGGCCTCCCAAAGTGCTGGGATTACAGGTATGAGTCACAGCTCCTAGCCATCTCACGCCATTCTTACTATTTTTTTTAGAGACCAGGTGTATCACCCAGCCTGGAGTTCAGTGGCATAGCCACAGCTTACTGCAGCCTTAACGTCTTTACCTCAAGCTATCCTGCCTCCAGCCTCCTGAATAGCTGGAACTACAGAAGTGCCACCATACTCAACTAATTTTTTTTTTTTTAGTAGAGATGGGGTCTTGCTATGTTGCCCAGACTGGTCTTGAACACCTGGCCTCCGGCTGTCTGCCTTGGCCTCCCAAAGTGCTAGGATTACAGGCATTAGCCACCATGCCTGTCCATACAGTTAACTTTATATATATACATATACATATATAGAGAGTGAACACTCTAGTGACAAAAAGTATAGTAAATATATAAACTAGTAGCAGTCATTTATTACCAAGTATTTTGTACTGCACATAATTTTATGTGCTATCTTTTTATATGACTGACAGCCCAGTAGGTTTGTTTGCACCAGTGTCACCACACACACTTAAGTAATGGCATTGAGTTAGTGGCTATGATGTCACTTTGTGATAGGAGTTTTTTTAGCTCTGTTATAATATGGGATTACTATTATACACGTGGTCCATGGTAAACAGAAATGTGTGGCACATGACTGTGGTATACATATATGCCACTTTTTCTGTATTCTTTGATCAGTGCACATTTAAGTTACTTCCACTCATCTGCTGTTAATGCTGCTGTGATCATGAATATTCAAATACCTCCTGAGGCCATGCTTTAAATTCTTTCTGGGCATATACCCAGAAGTGGAAATGGTGCTTCCTGTTAATTCTGTTTTAACTTTTGGGGGGAACTATTTTCCGTAGCAGCTGTATCATTTTACATTCCCACCAGTGCAGGGGTTCTAGTTTTTCACATTATTGCCAACACTTTGTTTTTTGTTTTTTTCAGTTTTGTTGTTGTTGTTGTTGTTTGAGACGGAGACTCACTTGTTGCTAGGCTGGAGTGCAGTGGCACAATCTCGGCTCACTGCAACCTCCGCCTCCCAGGTTCAAGTGGTTCTCCTGCCTCAGACTCCGAAGTAGCTGGGACTATAGGTACGTGTCACCACGTCCGGCTAATTTTTTGTATTTTTAGTAGAGACGGGGTTTCACTGTGTTAGCCAGGGTGGTCTTGATCTCCTGACCTAATGATCCACCTAATGTATTGGAATTACAGGCATGAGCTACCACATCCAGCCCACTTTGTTTTTTAAATCATAGCTATACTAATGGGTGTAGATGTTATTTTATTATGGTTTTTTGGTTTGCATTTCAGTATTGATGTTTAGCATCTTTTCATTTGCTTGTTGACTAATTGTATATTTTTTTTGGAGAAATGTCTATTTAATGTTTTTGCTTATTAAAAAAACATTTTTGTAAATTGGCAGATAAGATTGTATGCTTTCATTGTATACAACATGATGTGAAGTATATATACTCTGTTGAGTGGTTAACATGTATGTATTTTATATGTACATACTCTATATACATATTCTAAATATTAACCCCTTTCAGATACTTGTTTTTCAAATACTGTCTCCCATTCAGTCTGTTTCCTTTTCACTCTGTCCATAATGTCTTTTATTTTGCCCTGGAGTTTTCAAATTTCAGTGGAGTCCAATATATGTTATGTTTGTTTCTTATGTTTTGGTGTTATATCCAAGAAATTATTGCTAAGTCCAGTGTCATGAAAACTTTTTCCTGTTATTTTCTTTTTTGTTGTTGTTTTGTTTTGTTTTTTTCTTTTCTTTTTTTATGCTATTCTCAGTAAATATTATTTCCTGTTATTTTCTATGAGTTTTATAGTTTTTAAGTTGTCCTTTTAAGTCTGATTTATTTCAGTTCATTTTAGTAAATGGAGGAAGGCAAGAGTTCAACTTTATTCTTTCACATATAGATATCTAGCTTTTTGAAAATTATTTATTGAAAAGACTCCTTAATAAGTTTTTGCACTCTTGTCAACAATCTGAGCATAAATATGAGGACTTCTTTCTGGCCTCTTCATTCCACTATATGTATGCCTTTGTGCTAGTACCACAGTGTTTTGATACATAATTCTTTTAAGAGAATAATGGGCTGGGGGCGGGGGCTCATGCCTATAATCTCAGCCCTTTGGGAGGCCGAGGCAGGCATCTCAGGTCAGGAGTTCGAGACAGCCTGACCAACACGGTGAAACCCCGTCTCTACTAAAAATGCAAAATTAGCTGGGCATGTCATGCATGCCTGTAATCCCAGCTACATGAGAGGCTGAGGCAGGAGAATCACTTTAAGCAGGGAGGGAGAAGTTGCAGTGAGCGGAGATCGCGCCATTGCACTCCAGCCTGGGTGACAGAGTGAAACTCCATCTAAATAATAATAATAATAGTGTTTCTGCCCATTGTTGAGGCCCTTGCTAGAGGCTTGACAGTGCTGCATTTGGAACAGCTGGTAAGGTACCTCCCAACCACTGTCCTTAACACACTCTGAAACTCGATTCAATATATATCAGGCCCAGTCACCCCAGGAGCTAGTATCAGACATCTAGGGACAACTCCTATGCCTTGGAACATGTAAAATTACTAAAATTGGCCAATATATAGAAAGCCCAGAACACTTAGCTAACCCTAATCTACTGGCCACACAGAAACTGCCTCCTGCAACTCCAGTTTACTCTATCACTGTTCCTCCACAACTCTGGTGCAGCCCTGCATCATGTCCTCTGGTTCTGAGTTGTAAATTACAGTATGCTCCACCTTTCAGCTCTCTGTCATTATGCCATGTCCTGACATCTGAAAAACTTCTAAATCTTAAAACTATACACACAGAAGGGTATCATGAATGCAGCAAATGTTGGAAAGTTTTTAGCCATTAACCTTTTTCGGCACCAATAAACCGTCCTGGAGAAAGACCTTAGGAATGCAGGCAGGCAAGGTACTTTCGTCAGCAGATGAAATAACACAGCAAAGCTGTGGATATTAGCACTTGTGAGGGGGACCTCAGCCAGAAGTGGAATCTTACATCTAAACATCCACACAAGGGAGATTTGTTGTAATTGTCTGGTATATCAGAAGCCTTTGTGAATTTCCTTGGACTTTCTGATCTGCCTGGGATCCTTGCCAGTGTCATCACTGAAAGTGTATACGATGAAAGACTTCCATCCACTATTAGCTAATATAGTATCACAGTGTGTATCACCTTAAAATACTTTGGGAGGAAAGATAGCTGTGCTCTCTACCTTTATTTGGAGTATTGAATCATCTGATCCCTTTGGGCGGAGCCTCATTCCCATTTCCCTGGCTGGTTTGGGTGTAGGCATTATCCAACTTTGGACAGAGGATACAGGCTGGCTTCAGCTGGCAGCTTGTAAAGATTTCCTTAATTCATGGGTATTATTGATTGTCTTATAATGTTGGCAATAAATTTTTCACCTTCCAAACTGCCCAATCCAGTCCGGTTCCACGTAACCATACTGGGTTTTGTGATGATAAAGTCATTGTTTAAGCTACATTTACTCATTGGCATTCTATTCTGTGTGTACTGTGGGTTGAGAACAGAATTGGAGTCTGCCAGAATGAAAATGAAAAAGTGAGTGGTTTTGTGGGGTTTTAAATTTTGTGTGCTTCCAAAGAAATAGCCAAAAAAAAAAAAAAAAAAAGCCCTCAGTCCACATTAGGCCTGATGTACATTGCTTCA